GAAAATTGGTGTGTTTATTGAATCACTAGAATGAATGATGAGTGAGGGTCTAGGAGGCAGGTACATTTTAAAGCATGTTTGTTCTCTCATCTTACTCCTTTTTTTCTAATTTTCCTAAATCTGAGCTTTAAGTACGTTTGTCTTATGTGTGAAAGTAAGTTCAAATAAGAAATTCCTCTTACCGCAGTTTAGGTCATAAATTAAACTGATGAAAAGTTAAGAACTATTTTTATATGTTTAAGGCTAAAGATTTCTATCTTTTATTTCAATAAACAGCCTTCCTTTCCCTTTGCCTTTATCTTTTTTCTTTTCTTTTCTTTTTTTATTTTTTTTAATTTGCAAGAGGGCTCATGTGTTTGCCAGAGACAAAGAGAGGGAGAGAGAATGTGAGAAAGCACCCCTCGTGGGCGATGGTCACACTGTAACCCCCTCTCTTCAATTTCTCCCTCCTTTTGGGATTTTGGGCATGCAGGCAAGCATGCACGTACGTCCAGCATATTTCTCAAGCAGCCGAATCCAGGACTCGAACTGCGCAGTTGGCCAGGTGAGATCTAACTTCTGTAAGCACAATGCCAAGGGCTGACCCCCTCTTGCCTTTTTCTACAGGTTGAAGTCAACTCTTTCATAGCTTTTTCTGCTCTTTCTTTCTGCAACACAGAAAGAATCACATTGCTAAATCAATTCTAAATAAATGTTGCAGATTCTAGAGAATTTTGAAATATTTAGTACTACTCAGCATAGTAACATAGAGCGCATTTGGTGTGTAAAGGTTGAGAGATTGGACAACTAAGGAAAAACTTGGTAGTATACTTTTACACATGTGAAGGTAATATAGGCCTAAATTCAATATTCTGCCTCCCTGCACATTCCAGGAACATCATCTAAGATGAGAGCGTATCGAAAATGGTTTCTGAGGGCCATATTCAAGGATGAACATTTCTGGTCAAAAAAAAAGTGGGTCCATGTAAGGGAACTGTAGACATTGCAACAGAACAGTGGAGGCCCCTAAATAAAGGGCCAGCAGTTCCAAGGGCAAGAGTGCAAGGAGAGGAACAGGAAGATGACAAAACAAGAATTTCAGAGAGAACTATAATTTTGGATTATGGCTAAAATACAAAGAAAAAAGAATGGGTAGGGAAAATTTAGCTGTGATGAAAAATAGTATTCACCTTTTTTCAATCCAGTCATGCAGCCTTTGAAAAATGAAAAATCATTGTACATTATAAAGACGTACAATGATTAAATGAAAATAAGAAATCATTAAAAAAAGACTCATCAAAAGATACTTTTGCTAACTAGAACAATGTTTCTGTCAGGTGTAATATTAAATCTCGGGGCAGCATATGGCATAGTAGTTATGTCGCTGGACTCCCACACAACTGACCATGGTTTGAGTCCCAGACCTAGTGGCTTGAAACTCACACTGGGTTCATGTGTGTGTATGTCCAGGGTCTGGGGAGGAGAATGGAGAAGAAAGGATTGTGGTGTAGCTATGCCCCCTAGAAAGTGACTTCTTACTTTCCCTCTCACTCCTCCCACCCTGGGGACTGCACAGTTCCTAAGGCAAAAAGCCTCTAAGAAAAAAAATTAAATCTTTTAATCTTATGTACTTATAAAATACTGAGCAAAATTTATTATTTAATATCTTATTTAAAAATGATTTCAATCTTAAAATTCTTATTTTATTATTTTTCATGCACCTTGATAGCAATAGTATAGAATATTAATTTTAGGACGAAAAAGGCTGAATACAGATGTGAACACCTTTCCATACTGAACTGGAAGGATTCCTTTCTAAGCTAGCGTCCTGCCAGGTTACTGGGGAAAATGCTCAGAACTATAATCTTTGCAATGCAAATTTTTTCTTCAACTTGGTAGTTATCTTAATACTGTCTTCTGAAAGTCTTAAAATGTGTCTCCTTTGAGACATAATTAGCCAGTCTCAGAAAGAGGAAAAAGGGATTTTTTTTTTAGAAGAAACAGGTGAGAATTTACAATGAGAATTGGGTTCTAGACAAGGAAAAACTCTTTTACCAGATGTTATCTCAAAAACTTAGTTAGAGACTAAGTTGCCTTTTAAAAAATTGTATTTATGATTGATATTGTTATTATTTTTAATTTACCAGAAAGAGAAAAAGAGAGAGAGGGAAAGTGAGAAAGCAAGCCGCCAGGTCTGGGATTCAAACCGCAGTGGGCCATGTGGGAGTCCAGCGCCCCAACCACTGTGCCACCTGATGGCCCAAGTTACATTTTTTAACTCTCCAGGAAAAGCAGCATGATGTGTATGTAGGATCTTGCATCAAACAGGAGTGATACTTCTTTTAACACATGACCATTGACTAGTCAATTGGCCTAGGGTAAATAATCAAATCCCTTTATTTATATCTATGTATATAAAATGAGGATACAATATTATTATTATTCAACAACAGTTTAAGGTAGTTTCTTTCTTAGAAAATACATCATTTTTGAGACCTCTGAAGTACATTTTTATTTGCAATTGAACACTGTGTTTTATTTATGATACATTGCCATATAATTATGATAAACCCAATTGCTCATAATGAGCTGAAGTTCATTAGTCCTCTTTAGCTGCCTTTCTCCTTTCCCATCTTTCAAACAACAGACACTGGCAAACAGAAGAACATGAGGTATGAATTTTTACAGACTAAAAATACAAGGTTAACCCCTCTAATTTTTCTATTTTGACAGAAATCCATAAGCAATGTTAAATCACACCCATGTATATATGGATATCTATGTACATGAAGAAATATCTATGTACATTAAGAAATAGTTTTTGAGACTTCTGACTGTTGCATTCTTAAAGACATGGGAGCGAAAGCAAGCCGCCAGGTCTGGGATTCAAACCGCAGTGGGCCATGTGGGAGTCCAGCGCCCCAACCACTGTGCCACCTGATGGCCCAAGTTACATTTTTTAACTCTCCAGGAAAAGCAGCATGATGTGTATGTAGGATCTTGCATCAAACAGGAGTGATACTTCTTTTAACACATGACCATTGACTAGTCAATTGGCCTAGGGTAAATAATCAAATCCCTTTATTTATATCTATGTATATAAAATGAGGATACAATATTATTATTATTCAACAACAGTTTAAGGTAGTTTCTTTCTTAGAAAATACATCATTTTTGAGACCTCTGAAGTACATTTTTATTTGCAATTGAACACTGTGTTTTATTTATGATACATTGCCATATAATTATGATAAACCCAATTGCTCATAATGAGCTGAAGTTCATTAGTCCTCTTTAGCTGCCTTTCTCCTTTCCCATCTTTCAAACAACAGACACTGGCAAACAGAAGAACATGAGGTATGAATTTTTACAGACTAAAAATACAAGGTTAACCCCTCTAATTTTTCTATTTTGACAGAAATCCATAAGCAATGTTAAATCACACCCATGTATATATGGATATCTATGTACATGAAGAAATATCTATGTACATTAAGAAATAGTTTTTGAGACTTCTGACTGTTGCATTCTTAAAGACATGGGAGCAAAAATAACAACCAAATGAGCTAAATTAGAAAACAATTTTTTTTTTTTTTAAGATTTTTGCCATAGGGCATGTGGACTTGCCAGAGAGAGATAAAGAGAAAAGGAAAGCAAGAAATCGCCCCCTGGGGGGATGGCCATGCTATAATCCTTTCTATTCTATTCTCCTCTTAGGATTTTGGACACATATGCACACACATCTGTGTGTTTTCAAGTCACTGGGTCCAGGATTCAAGTCATGCACTTGGCTATGTGGGATCCAGGACCTTAACCACCATGCTATCTGCTGGCCCAAAGACAATTTTTATGTTTCAATTGAATTGGGAAAAGTATCTAACATTTATCTTAACTCTAAGGATTAAATTTTTTTTTTCCTAATAGTATTCTACTATTTACATTATATTTTCTAGTATTTTACATTATATATTTCACTAGGAAATAGTTTGATATGTTAGTTCATTCATGTCACTACCAGGAAATAGAATTTACTCTTTATTTCTGTATAGTATAGAAATTGAAGGGAAAAAAAAGCTACTTGAAAAGGATACCAAATGTTCATGCCAGAATCAGAATTAGAAATTAGGGAGGTTTGGGGTTGTTAATAGCAACGATACCAACAATAATTCACCGGATGCCAAGAGAGCTCTGGTTTCTAGGCAGGCTTGTTTTCCAGTGCTGCTGCATCTTGTTTGCAAACAAAGATTTTACATCTAAATGCAGTTCAAGAGATTTATTCATATGCTTTTTAATAATTCATATCACAGGGCCCCAAAGCCTTGCAAATGAATTTCTCAATTTCAAAACCATGCATAAGAAGTTCTTTTATATTTGGATAGACATTCTCCTTTCTGATAAAATATAAAAACTCACTAAAAAACTCTTGCAAGATCAACTGTCTGATTTTGCATGTCCTTTATATGACAGGCATTCTCAACTTGATGTCTTAAAATATGAATCAGGTGTTATTTAACAAAGGTCATGCTGATTTCGAGTTTTTAATGTGAAGCCTACATTCTACCCTTCTGTACTGGAAATGAAAGTTACACCAACCAGACCCATCACAAATGCTTCAAGAAAAGAACCAAATAAAACCCAAGCACTGGACATGTCGACCAAGGCAGTGTGGGTAGCTGAACATATCCTCAGAGTATTTGGTCACCGTTAGTTCTTTCCTTTCCATGCATCTCCTTCCTATACTTCCAAAGAGCAAGAACAAATATTCGTACAGTGAGTGTTCTGGTTGTAGCGCCCTCAAACCTTTTGTGGAAAGGATAATACCTTGCCTTTTGGCAGTATGTTTGTTTAAGTAGCAAGACTGACTGCCTTTAGAATAGAATGAAGGTCGAATCTTAAAAACAAAACATAACAAAACAAAAAAACAGAACCTTTTCCAGAATTGCTTTCTGCTTCTTATAAGAACGTGTTCTTGATTGCTATAATGTGATTCTTTTCTACCTCTCTTTTCCCACTCCTCTCAGGCACCAAATGGTCTCCCAGCTGTGAGCAGTTTTGTGTCAGCATCCAGCATGGCTCCTTACCCTACCCCGGCCCAAGTGTCGCCTTACATGACCTACAGTGCTGCGCCTTCTGGTTATGTCGCTGGACACGGGTGGCAACATGCCAGCGGCACCCCGCTGTCCCCCCACAACTGTGACATTCCCGCGTCGCTGGCGTTCAAGGGAATGCAGGCCGCCAGAGAAGGTAGTCATTCTGTCACGGCTTCCGCACTCTGATGGGAAATTCCGTCTCCAGCAGCTTCCCCAGGTCTCCCCCACTCAGTGCAACCTCCCCCTCCTCTCAAGTCTCACAACTCAGCTCTCCTGCCCGCCAACCCTCCTGCCTCAAGAGCTGGCTTTATAGACTCACCTCCTTTGTGCTGATGACACTTAAATATTTCTTGCCATAACCTCTCTCACGCAGAAAGCCCGACATGACTTTAGGATTTAAAAACAAAAGCGACGGTAAGGATTGAATGAGGCACTTGTGTTGCCCACACACTGTTTTAACATAGTGAAGAAATCTACACCCCTCAAAGGGCTTAAGGAACTTTTAAAACTAGTTTTGGTAAAACCACACGTGTATATTTATTCTAAATCAACCTGAACTTTTGAAATGTGCAATTGTTGAGATTTTGCAAAATCAATAAAGGAAAATGCATATAGAAAAAAGTTATGTTATACCTTTTAATCAAATAAGGTAACCAAGTAAGCCTTAATTCCTCATTAGAAAACCAATCAGTAATTGACTTGAACAATGCTTTGTTTATTTTTAAGAGATGACTTATTTTGTTGAAAAATATATTTAGAACCCAAGCAATATCTGAATTTAGCTCCTCCTGGTGTTTTGACTTGGTTCCAAATATAATGTTTATATTTTCTATTAGTTTGTAAATATGAACTCTGGTGCATTTGTGTCTTCATTCCACAAGACATGCCCCTTCTGCTGCCCCAGCCCCCTACATTCTTTTCTTTCTCTTTTGCAAAGGTGACTTTCTGGCAACTTCTTTGTCTCTGTTTGGTGGCGGGGTGCTCGGGCTCCTGGACCTGGATTTGCCCCCAGTTTTTGTGTGTGCAGTGAAGGCTTCACCATCTTATGAAGGACACATTCTTTCTACAGCAGAGGACTCCAAAAACAGATAAAACAAGCCAGTCTCCCATTTTGTTTCCTAATCAAACAACACACATGCCAAGCATATAAAGACAAGAGGGTGGAAAAGAACAAGAAAACTCCAAAGGAAGTCACTTAGAAACTCAAGTTTAATGTGAAATGTTTTGCAAAGACACTTAAAATGAACTTTATGTTAAGAAAACCACTGTGAAACTAAATTGTACTGTTATTGTTGGCTTACCTGTGTGTTATGCAATCTCAGCCCAAAATTATGTTGTAATTTAAAAAAAAAAAAAAAAAAAAAAAAAAAAAAAAAAAAAAAAAAAAAAAAAAAAAAACGGAAAATTCTGCTCTAATGAATGTAACAATGGCTTGCTGTGAAGTTTACATTGTTGTACAGATGCATGTTTCACGTTTAGGTAAACTGGTGGCGGTATTAGAAATACACATGCTATTTAATTTTAACAAATTCCTTTTTTTCATTTCTGGAGTTATAGGACACAGTTTAACTGATAAACCCTTCTAGACCAATTTATTTTCCACTTTAATGTTACTAATAGAGTTGTGGGGTATATGTGTGTGAACGTGTGATTTTGTGTTATATTTTAAAACAATTGATTTTCTGGGGCAAAATTCTATGGTTTTTATCCCTTCTGGTTAGGAAGTTCTTCCTGCTTGGTGATATAGGCTTAGAAATATGTTTTTAGAACATTGCTACAATTCATCTATGGGAAAATTAATATATTGTAGGGGATTTTGGTATCGATTCTGTGCAATAACTGAAAGGGCACCTCATTAGAGATGGATGTTAAAGACGCATTCATTAGGTGATTTTGAGTTCTTCCTATCTGTGCTATGCACAGCCTACATGGCAATCCAGTTCCACCACGTTGGTTTCATGGCTTCATTTAAAATTCAGATGGCTAGATTAGCTAGGTTTTCAAATCACTAGGAAGTAAACAGTAAGCAGATTTCTGACACACAAGTTATGTTCAAGAAACTGCTTTTTTCAAGCAGCAGATATCTTCTAGAGAGCTTTGAACTGCATTTATTTCTAAAGCAACCAAAATTCATTGCTACAAACAGAGGATTACACTTTAGGCGAAGAATAAGCAGAAAGAGCAGATGAACTCTCAGGGCCATAGTCTTCCTTTGATCTTATAAAACTCCCATTGACATCTGGAGTTCCCAGTCTGGTGAAAAAATAGACTATAAACCAAATGGAACAAAGATCTAATCCAATATTTTTGTGGAGACTTTAAAACCGTACCGTACAGGAACTCTCCGACCATCCAGAGAAACTGACGTAAGGCACAGAATTACTCTTGATCAAACGTTTTTAAGGTGGTTGGTTGTTAAGGGGTTTTGAAAAATATCAATTATATGGAAACACAACTAAATGTTATTTTATCTAAATTAAGAAATCTCTTGTTATCGTGCAATTTCTAATTTTTCTGGTTCTTGTATTTTAAAAAAATTGAATATTAATGATATCAAAATTCCCTTTTCTTTCTTCCTCCTAGGCCTTGTCTTTAAAACAGTGAATTCACATGGAGGAAGTTTAAAAAGACAACAGAAACCCAAATATAATTTGCTATTCAAAGGAAATTGTGATATAAAGCCACTTTAAAAAATACGACAAAGCAAGCAAGACAGGCTATGGGATTGGGACTGTTTGATTTTTAAACATTATTGGTTAATGTTAACGTATTTCCTTTGTTTCTTAAAGGGTGAAAGTGTTGTTTTTAAACTGACAAATGCACTCTTCCGAAATCCTGTGCCGTTTCATCCCCATGGAAGGTTGAAGTTCAATTTCATGGTTTTGATGCAGACAGTACTCTCCGTACTCTCTTACACAGGCTCAAGAGTATTACCTGCAAGGAGAGAACGCAGTTGTGCAACAGATACACAGTCTTATTTCTCTCTCTCTCTCTCTCTCTCTCTTTTTTTCCTGTTTTTAATGACCCTCTTATTGAATATTGGGCTGGAATATAAATTAAGAAAACACGTTGGAAAAGATGTACAACAGAAGGCTATGTATGTATATACAGTATGTCAAAAAGCCTTTTATTTTTATACTTCAAATGCTCTAAATTAATAAAAAGTAATAATTATCATGATATCTTTTACTTTTTATTTTCAAAATACATAAGTGAACTAGCCCCACAGTGGAAATATCCCATGGTAGTAATTAAGAACAGGTGTCATTTAGAAAGTGCAGATATTTTTGTTGGCTTTCACTACTGAAGTAGCATCATTTCAGGATGCAGATCTAAAACCAAGTTTGCTCCTATCAAGGCCACGGAGATACTTTTTAGAGTGCATGTTAGTACAGGAATCTTTGGAAACGCTAAGAATATACTTCTATTTTGAAGCATTTTTTTTCCCTTTGTCATACATACTTCAATACTTCAGACTTCAGACCTGAAACTGTCATTTAAAACTAAAAACCTGGAAATGAACTTTTACTCTTTGCATTCTTCTTAAGAATGGCACCAGTAAATGTTCTGAATAAAGATATTAGAATGCAAACAGAGACAGAACGAAAAAGTCCAAGGAGTGCTTCCTATTTGTGATTTAACATAAAAATATTTCAGCAATAAAATTGTCTGCAAAGAGAACTATGTGAAGGAAAGTATTTAAATAATTTGATGTCTTCTATTAGGGTAAAAGTCTTTGGATATCATGATTTAACAATACCTGTTTATAGCACAATAATTAAGTGTAATGTAAATAAAAAAGTATAAAAATAACAAAATTGGGAAAAAAAGAAATGGTGATGACATATGACATTAAAAAAATACCTGCTTTAAACAACAGTGTGAAATATAAAACAGATTTTGGAGAATAAAACTGAGATGTGTACAACTGAAAAAAAACCAGATTTACATTTTAACATAGTACTCATAAAAAATTAAACATCTTAAAAGGCCATTTTGCTGTACTTTAAAAACATTTTCCTTATGCCTTTTAAATATTATTTATGGAATAATTTAATTTCTTTTAAAAATTATTTAAAGTTTGGCTTAACTACTTTTTAAACCCTGTCTTTTTTTTTTTAATAATTCTCTTTTTTAAAAGAACTATTTTTATTTAACTTTATTTATTTATTTTAGTTTGACCAGAGAGTGAGAGGGGAAGAGAGAGAGAGAGGTGAGAAAGCAAGCCCAGATCTGGGACTCAAACCGTGGTCAGCCATGTGGGAGTCCAGCACCCTCAACCACCATACCACCTGCCAACCATCTTTGAATAATTCTTAAGGAACTGGCTACAGAATGATTTATGATCAAGAATCCAAGCACTTCTAGACCTTATAGAAAAATAGTTATCAGTACAATAAATTTTTATTGTGAAGCAGTATAAGGGGAACATAGTTGACACATTTTAAAATTTCTTTTATGAAATATTCTGATTCCTATGCTATTTTCATTGCTTTATACTATTTTTCTTCTCATGGTTTTATGTATATGGCCAAAACTATCATCTCAAGTCATCTGAAGATAATTTTTAAAGCACTAAAGTCGGTTTTGTTCTAGTACAAGTTATTTTCCTCTTTCTACCCTATCCCTAGCTTAGCTGATCAATACCCACTCTTCATGGCACTCCTAGTAAAATCTGTCATCCTAAGGGGGAAAAACCCTTCTTGGGCAATCACCAGTTCTCCTGAAGCCATGAATAGGTGTATTCATAAACCAGCAGCATCACCGCACCACCTAGAAAAGAAAAGAGCTGGGCTTTACGGCAAACTCTGTGAAATAGTGTGCTTTTCTCCACTGGCCTTCCGATTCCATGCTGTTCCGCACAGCCTATCAGGCAGGGGCTGTTCAGAATCATGTTTTCAGACTCCAATACAAAGACATAAAACTATTGTGGAACATTTTAGAGCAAAATCAAGACCATCTTGAGTCTCCAAATACATTTTTTCCCCATGAGTTTCTTCAACTTTCATCATTTCACATCAGATTCTTTTTCAGGCACTTTCAAATTTTAAAAAGTAAATAAATATAGACATATTTAGTCATGTAAGGGCATGTGGCTTTCTTGCAAACAGAAACCTCCAGATTCTTCATACGTAGGCAAAGAATCTATCTTTTTCAGTCCATAATTAGCATTGTGTTAGTTGCATTCAAGAAGCAGAACTCTAAGATGGTGTTTGATGGATGAGTCTAGTTTTCTCTTACAGCTTTCGTGCTGGCTTGCAATGTGAAAGATAGCTTCTGAATATTTTCCAAGTAAGTATTAAAAAACATAACAAAAGGAGGTTGAAAGCTCACCTTCACCCCCTTTATCTGCTTCAGATGTGTATGGATTTGAACTTGAAAATCTAGTAGTAGGAGTCGGATGGCGTGAGACCATTGTTTGTCATGGAAGAGTTATATAATTGGCCACAAAGAGGCTTGTATGTAATACGAACGGGAATGTAATATGTAACAGGAATATGGTACAGAAAAGCAGGCACTGAGGCTGCTGAGTACCTAAACACTGAAGGAAACATGTGTACAAAGGTCATTTGGTGTCCTGTTAGGTCATAAGGAAAGTCATGACATATTTTTCTATGCAAAAACGCATCATACATTTCCAGACAATCCAGTATTTGATGCAATAAAGAGCATGTGTTCCATGCCATTTAGGATTGTCTCTATTCATCTTTCTATGTTTGTGTGAAAAATATTACAAAATCAAAATGTGGGCAAGTGTCTTGAGCACAGCATAGAGGAGGCTTGGTTGTATGACTAGGAGACTAATGTCTAATGGAAAGAAATAGAACTTGGTTTGGATTTTAGTTATTGAGTACACATTGCCATATGCCTTAAAAAAAAAAAAAAAGACAAAAGAGGGGCCAGCAGGTGGCGTGGTGGTTAAAGACGCTGGATTCCCACATGGTTGACCACAGTTCAAGTCCTGGACCTGGTGGCTTGCTTTCTCCCTTTCCCTTTCTCTGCCTGACTCTCTTTAGTCAAATTAAAAAAAAAAAAAATACTAACAAATGGAATTAAATAAATAGATACATGGTTCTTTAAAGAAAAATAAAAACCAACAAAACCTATAAGCTGCATGTTTCTATAACTATATACCAAAGATAATTACCTGCTTGTAATTTTCATTTCTAACCAATGAAGATACTACTTTAGTCCCCTTTCCTCTGCTGCAGCCCTTTTGGAACTCTGGCAAACAAAAAGTGGTGCTCAAAGCACTATCAATATGTGTTAAATGCTAGTTATTCTTAGTACTGTTCACAATATAAGGCATGAATATGTAAAATATGGTTGTTTTTCAGCCTCATGATATTTGAAGTTCAAAGCATAGACTTCAAATTTTTTTTTTTGTGAGCGATACCCGATTGTTGGCCTCATAGAGCTACTAAGGCTCTAAAAATAAGATGGATGCTTCTTCAGAATGAGGGATGAAAATTTCAGGTTTATCTTCCTTTTCCTTTTACTCTCTCTCGCTCTTTTAAATCTTACCCTTCACCAAAAACTCTTATTACCTTTCTCTTTTCTTTCCTTTGAAGTTGCTGGGACTTGTACATTTGGAATGAAGTGGAGGCCAGGTTCTTAAATGAGGTTTCTAGTGCTTCACAGTTTTGTTTAGACTGGACAGTAAGTTCACAACAACCCTTTTCATGGGGTTTAACACCATGGCAACTTGGGACCCCTTATGCAAAAACATTTAAAAAGCCAACCAAACATTTGCAAGCCTCTAAAAAAACTTGGGGTCAGATTATTTAAGAGTTTTGGATTAAGGTTCCAGTCAATTACCATTCAGTTAAACTCTCCCTTGTCACCACCCTTTTCAGGCCCATCCCATCTGAGAAAACTGGTTTAGGGCTAGTCCTATGATTTTCTTTAATATTATGTCCACTAGTAGAATTTTACTGCATGGAGAAGAAAAAAATGCCACATAAGAGCTGACTTAAAAGGTTTGTGGAAAAGTGAAAAGTACGAGTTTATTTTGATGCAGGAAAAAAATGAAACTCAAGTGTATTATTCCATAATACACATTTTCTGTGGACTTTTGGAAGACCCTTATATTTGCAGAGATGAGCAAAATCACCAACATTCTTTATTATTGGTTTAGTTTTTTACACGTGGGCTGGTGACTAACAGAAGGCAGGCCTAAATCTCAAATATGAAGGAGAATTCATGCTTAAATGGCCAGAAAGGTTGTGATAAACAAATTGTGAATTGTGGAAGTGTTTTCAAAATACATGAAGGTGTGAACTGCTCACCAGCTTCAATTTACAGACGGTTGTTTTGTGGTGAAAATGCTGGCTCACTGGGTTACATGTGAAGGCAGATGTGCTTGTGTGGGGTGCGCTAGGATATTCGTGTTCAAAGGGATGAAGGGCAAAAGGAGAGGAAAACTGCAGGGAAGATCCTAGGAAGATTACCAGGATGTCTAAGTAGGTGAGTGTGTCCTGATTTTAAAAAATATGTGTGGTTTGGAGCATTCTTTTCTACTTATTCACAAAGTTGCTCATAATCCCAGGCTATTTGCCCAGGGAGTTGAGTCTGCAGCAGTTATTTTCTTATCTATTTTGTGTCCTATTTATCTATTTACATAGAGGCAACTGACTTTCCCTGTGGGACTGGCAGCTGGTTTTCTGTGGACTGGTGTCCTGAGGTAAGGCCCTGAGCCAGGAGCCTCTACCATCATGCTGACTGAGGCCAGGAAAGGAGAGCACTGTCTGCCTTGTCCCCGCTTCCCAGAGATGACTGCGAGGAGGGGTGGCTCGTACCATTCCAGGAGGAAACTTGTCCTCCTTTTCCACATGAAGTGGAGGCAGGAGCAAAAGGAAAAGTTTATTGGCTGGACCCTCACTAGTGAGTATTCGACACCTTATTCAGAAGCCACTGTATGTATTTTAGTGTTCACTCTAACTCCAACTGGCCAGAGATCCTTTCCTATTGACTTAAGCTGGGCTTTGGCTTCCATCAGCCTCCAGCAAGGTCATAAATAGCACTTTATAAACAAAGAAAGAACATTCTAATGGATGTCTTCGGTATCTTGAATATTCATAGACAACTTTATATCCTCAAGATTTCCATCTTTCACGGTGTAGTAAACTTTTATTGTCCTGTTGATAGACACTAATATCGAGAGAGAAAAAAAAAGGAGACACCACAACAAGAAGGAAGGATATAAATAATAAAATCATTACCTGGTCCAAGTCTCATAATCTTGGGGAGAAGGCCTTTGTACAGTGCTAAAATCCTGTAACCAGAAGGGAAAGAACATGTCTATTCTGAAAATCAATGGAGTTGTACCTTAGCTTTATGGAGACGCTGGTCTAGCATTTACAAAACAAATTATTTGAAATTATACACATCTGAAACCAGACAGTATCTGGTTTTGTATTCTCTGGGACAAATTGGATGGGGAGAAAGAGTTAATGAATTCTTTATTACCCAAGCCAGGCTAGTTTTATCCAATCAGAAACATGACTTTCATCAGGGAGATGGTTTTTGCTTCCCAGACAGGTCTTACTTTCAAGACAGCTGTGTATATGGACAAAATGACTTTTGTAATTGAATTTCAAAGACCACAAACTCAGTCTTTACATTAGGAAATATGATGCAGTTTAGACCAAAATAATAAAATATTACTTGTTTACTTGAGAAGACATGGGTGAAGAGGGGCAAAGAGACAGAAAGTAAGACTTAAAAAAAAAAGTCTAAAAAGGCCCCCAGAGAAAGACATATATACTTGAAATATTAAAAACTACTTTTTAAGGAACATTTATATTAATCCTCTGAAGAGAATATAATTAGGTGGCATTTGGATTTTGGATTAGAATTACAGTCAGATGACAGTCTCCTGCCCACATATTCGCAGGGCACATAATATATAATAGCATATTATACAAACTGACAGGTAAAAAGTTCATCTGAGCATTCAACGGCAAACAGCGTACTGGATGATCGTGCCTCATGGCACGGTCTCGGTGGTGTCAGGATATTTGCCAACATCTCGTTATTGTGTTATCTTGCCGAGTGCGTACATATACAGCACTTCTTAGACACACACCCCATTTAGGAGGGCTTCCTGGCCCTCCTCGAGGTGGAAGTACAATACGGTTTTAACAGTATTTGAGACCAGCACGTTTATTAAAATAAGAACGCGTTACCCTTCTTCCTGATAGACTGTTGCCATTGTTTTGAAACAGGTTCTGTACTTGATCTCTCCAGGAACTGGCTGAGGCCCTTGAATCCTACTTTTGGCAACATCAAAAGGGATGTTAATGACTGAGGCTATTGTCCCCGAGAGAAGACCAATCCCAAATTTTCTCAAAAACTCCAAGGTTGGATCCTGAAAGAAAAGAAGAATAAAATAACAGAAAGGGAAGCGGAAGCCCCTAAATAGGTTAAACACTATAAAGCAATATGTATTGAAGCAGAGCACGGCACTCCCGGCACCCTCCTGTTATTCCAGCGGAACACATTACGATTTCCTAGGCTGGAACTTGTTTTCTTGACAATCCCATTGGCTATGTTTTTACACATGGTCTAAATTGCTGAAGTACACATTTCCTCACACAGGATTTATAAACACAGTTCATAAAGAAAGACTGGTATGGCATATGGGGATGATTTGTATAATTGGGCTTCACAATGTACTTAGTATTACTGTATCAAAACAGGAGAAATCCAAGCACACTATTAGCTAATTGGCCAGAATATTTTACAAATGACAGCAACTTCCACCATGAAGCCTACTAAAATGCTCATTTGTGTGTGGACCCCCAAATGTTAAATTAAATCAAGGCTACTCTCGGTCTGCTGCTATTCCCCTCCAGGTTTTTTGCATTTATTTTCACGTGTAGCTGATCCACTGTACTGAGAAGTGCTAGCTTCCTGTTATTAACAAACCTACTTGGGGTGGCTGCAAAACAGCCTGTGACATTCTGTGCATTATGAACAGTAGTAAGTCACTGGACTAATTGGCTGAAGAATTTACAGCCCATTGTTCCTGAATCTTATTCTTCCTTCATGGCAAAGGAAGAGAGAGGAGAGAGAGAGAAAGAGAAATATTGCTTCTTTCCACTTGAATTTAGGCCCTTCACATTGGTCTGATTTGATTTTCCACCCCTCCCCTGCTCTGCTTTCTGACATCAAAGTATTTAATTAGGTCTTCTGTGGGAGTCACTTTCCTTCAGCCTATTTTTGTGCCCAGTAAGCTCACATTATGCTTTGTTATAATGAATTTGCTGGGAAGTTCTCATTATGTTTTCAGCCTCCAGTCTTGCCCTGAAGAGAGGTCATATCGCTTACGCCATCCTTACCCCACCTTCTCCCCTGGTCAGTATTTTAGAGGGGTCATCATAAAGGAACAACACAGAGTTGTGCCATGACACTACCTGATCCAGCAGGAGAACTAAACGAGGCATACCCTGCTTAAGTAAAATTAAACAAATAAAAATAAAAATAAACATTCAGATCTGAACATGGCATGTTTTTAGCCTCTATGAAAGAAGAAAACTTCTTGAAGCTCTGAAATTTTCAGCTGAACCGAGAGTCAGTTACGATTACAGAAACTCCTATGTGGCTAAATATAAAAAGTGAGGGGTTCGGTAATAATTCTTGGACCTGGGCCATACAGGTGCCGAGGAGGTTTAAAGGGATTTAAAAACCAACAGGGTGTTTCAACAGGAAAAACAATGCAGTGATTGCAGTATGAGTGAGGTGTGTTTAAATAATTCCCTCTCCCCCTGTTTTTTTTTCTCTTTTACAAGGAGAGAAAAATGCCTTTATGTTACCCTTCTCCATTATGCCACAGAAGCAGAACTGGAACCTGGGAGGATGGCAAATTCAGGACCAGCTCTGGCTGTCTAACCTGGAAAGAGTCACTGAGTCACACTTCTAGGTGTAGAAGTTTTTCAGAATTACCTTATCTCTCTACTGTATCATTTTTTTGGGAGGAAATAAAAGTGGTCACAGGAGTAAAATTGCTATGAAGGAATGTCATGCAAGCCTAGCAGAAAAATAGGTGGTATTATTACATTGCCTAAAAATGAAAAACTCAAAGCATCCTATAAAAGTATGTTTTCATGGAGTCCTTGAGATACAGCAAAAATTCTTTTTTCTTTTCAATTATGGACAAAAGTGTAAAAAATCATTGATTTATAGGCACATTATTCTTCTGGGAAGTTCCAAGTAGTCAGTCTCTGCCAACTCCCGAAGTGTTGCTGGGGGCCAGAATTGGAAATGGAGGGTAAACGAAGTGAGCGTCATTGTGCTTGAGACCCTGCAATGAAGACCAAAGCCCATGGTCTTCAAGCCATTATAGCGTTCACTAAGAAGTGTCAAACCTGTGTTTTTTATACATTTCCTGGAACAACAGTATGACCCCACAGTAGTCCTCCAGTCCAGTTCTGCATCAGAATCATCCAGTAGCTGTACAAAATGGAGACACCTGGGCCCCCTATCAGAGCCAACTCAGCTTTCCAGATCGGAATCTCTTGGGAAAGCACCTGAAAGTAGTTCTAAAAGCTTTTCAGAGCTTCTGAAGCTGCCAGGCTGAGGACCTCTGTAGAGGAATCAGTGATTTTGGCCTTTCATGCAGGCAAAGCAGAAGGTGAGTTGTTACCTTTGTGGGCATCTAAAGGAAGAAAAAAGCTCACTTAGGATAGCCAGGATGGTTTCCCTCACCACCTAGCTTCTGAGCCCATGGTCAATTTCTTCCCCTAACTCCATGGTCTGCTTTATGTAGCATCCCAGGCTGGGATGGATGTACCAAGGGGAGACCTCTCAGCTTTCTTTTTTCCTTTGCCACTTGTTGCCAACAATCTTCAAATGAACACAGTCCCCCAAATGCCTCTCCTATTTGTCCTCTCCCGGCCACTCTCACCTGTCTGGTTTTAGTTTAAATTCCCATTTGGTTTGCTAGGTCTTGCTTTTTTCCTGCCCTCTATGGTCTATTCTTCACAGTGGCACCTGGGTTTTCTTTTTATAAAAATGGACCTAGGGTGAGCCCCATAGCACACTGCTGTGCAGAGGAAGCTAGTCAAATGGCATTTCGGTTCTGGCCCCTGTGGAAACACAGCAGGTGCACATGGACCAAGGACATGATGAAGAATTGGAGGAGAAAGGACTGCAGAATGACAGGTTCTATTGGGTGATTCTCTCTCTGTCTCTCTTTCTCATGTCTGCTCACACTCCCTATGGCACACACAAAAAACCAAAACCAAAAACAAAAAAACAAAACAAAAAAGACACACAAAACACACAACAAAACAGCAGATTGGTTTACTCAAAGACCCTCAACACTTCCCCACCGCCTGGAGAGAAAGGCAAAGCCTCTCACTTGGCTTTCGGTTTCTTTCTAACAATATACTTCAAATTCATGTTTATAGCCTCAGAGTCTATGCCACCCCAGCCCATACTATTGTTACATTGGTTTATTCATAATTACTCGGATATTCCAACCCACTTTTCCAACTCCATGCCTATCTTTGAACTATTTCCATGACTGAGGATGTCTTTCTGAGCCAGGCGGGCCCCATTCAGCTTGGCTTCCTTCAGCCACGAGAACTTGGCCTCAATATGGTCACCAGTTTACCTAGAACAATCCCATTCTTCCTTTAAGGTTCAACTTAAACTCACGTCACTCGGGAAACTTCTACAGATTCCCTGTGTCAAAATTGATCGCTCTACTCCCAAGATACAGAGTGGTAATCATCACCCTTGTGATGACCCACTTTGTGTTTGGTTTCCTTTTCTGTGTATCTACCTTCCCTGTGAGACGGAGAGCCCGCACAACACAGGAACGTATGTTACTTTTCTTTGTCATCTATTTTGCAATGTACACAGTAGGTGCTAAATTAATGTCTGCTGATTGGTCTACCAATATATGTACTTACTTATTTCTGTAGAAATAATGAGAATAAGGCTTAATTCTTAGTTTCTCTTTTCTGAGACTCAGTGTCTTGGGAAATTGGTCCTTATTGGAAACTTACGTTCCTGTCTTTCTGTCATGGGGTATTAACACAGGGGCATGATAAGGCACTGGACATTCGAAAAATGGAGGACTTCAGGGTGGATGAATTGAGACTCTCTGGTCACAGAGCCAGATCTGGCCTCGCTAGACATTACTCAGAGGATTGCGGAGAACAGCATCATGTGGTAGCCTGTGACCACATTTTAGCAAAAAAAGCACAACCAGAATAGAGAAGGGTCTTGAGACTCTTTGGGCTCTTTATTCTTACATTACTGACTTAGGAGTCAGAAGCATCACCTGCTTTAAAAAGAATAAGGATTGTTGTAGCGAGACTAGAAAGTGAGAGAAATGGTGATATCTAGTGATCTTGTTTTCAAAGTAGGGTCTTGATACTCGAGAGAGATGTACTGACCCACAAGCACAATCTTGGAGAAGATTGAGGGCAGGGAGCAAAATGTGAGGAGTCCACATGGAGAGAAGGTATGGAGAGTCCCACTAGTGGCTGTGGCCAGCAGCCAACCAGCACATCAAATCCCTTCTTGGCATGTGTTGAGCACCCTGTGGCCAGGGAAGAGCACCACTCTTGGAAACTGCTATCATGCCTGTTGGGAGTGGGAAGAGAGAGTCTTCCACACTTGCTGCCCAATGAGGCCTGTGAATGATGCAGAGATAGATCTCTTAGTGCCAACACTGCTGATCCCATCCAAACTGCCTAACGGACGACCTTGTCAGCAGCACAGAACACTCTTAAGCTTGGGGCAGGGGCAGAAATGATGATATGGAAGAGAAAGCTCTAACTCTGGTCCTTGGGGAGGAGGGTATTATTATTTGTTACTTATTTAGAAACTTCCCTTTCTAAGTGCTGGCCACCCATGTGAGATGGTCCTTCTACCTTTATTTGGAGGGGTGAAACTCCAAGGGAGATGGGTCATCTGATGGTGCAGCAGTAACTCACTGCTCTGCAATGTTGGACTCACAGCAGATTCATGTCCCAGGATCTCCCTGTGCCTTCCGGACACGTACACCCCTGATCTGGACTGAGTAAGGCTGTGTGGTAAGGCGAGTGATCACGGAGTAAGGATGCTGCTGGGAGTGCCTTTCTCTTTTTCTCTCTGCTTCTCTCTTTCTCATGAAATAAATAAATAAACTTTTAGAAAAAAGTAATACATAACAAAAAATTCCCAAGGCAGAAGAGGTTTGCACAGTGCTTTGGGTTTACCTAGCAGGCAAGCGGGGGCATTGGGAAGAAAAAACCCTCAGGCAATTTTTCTTTACTGTTCTATTCATGAAATAAGGGGTTCTCGACCTGAGAACTTAGGAGCACAGGAGAAGAGAAGCAATATAGAAACGTATTCCACTGAACCCAAGTGAGC